ATGTTTCCTGAATGTTTTTAGATTTTTTTCTGCAGGTTTCCTGAATGTTTTTAGATTTTTCCTGCATGTTTCCTTAATGTTTTTAGATTTTTTTCTGCAGGTTTCCTGCAGCTTTCCTGCGGCCGTCTTTCATCGGGAGCCAAGCCGCCTCCGTTCTGCTTCCTGATATTTGCTTCCTGCTCTCCGTCTCTTACTGGATGTTATTAAACGCGGCCGTTCTGCGTCACGCAACCAAAATGTTTTACAGATTATTTTTTCCTCAGAAAACGATCTGATAATCTGAGAGGAAATGTTTTACTCAGAAACTCAGAAACATTCCCAAAAAACAAACATTTTCCACCGACAGTCGAACATGAAAACAATTTACTGTTAAATTTGAGACTTTATGTTTGGGATGTTTGTAAAGTGAAACTGAACCAAATTCCTTATTTGTGAAAACAAAATGGGCCAATAAAACTGATTCTGATTCGTTGAGTTTATGGCTGATTTTTTAATCTGTCCAGAATAAAAAAGCAAAAATATTTGTTTGTTTTAAACAACACCTTTAGAAATTCATAATTTTATTAATTGTCATCATTTATTTACATTTTTATTTTTTAATCTTATGATTTTAAAAGTTATATGACTTGAATCATCTTTAGTACCGGCGGATCATCAGGAGTTTTAATTCCTACCAAAATAAAAGGTTCTGTTTTCGGTTCTGCATACAGAACCAGGAAAAACCCAATCGGATCGATCCAAACCGGATCTGAAATGAACAGAATACATTTACTTCCTGTCCAGCTGACAACTTTGTTCACAACCAGAGAGAAGAACTAGACTGTTCCGGATCAGAACCAGGATCAGAACCAGATCCAGAGCCAGGATCAGAACCAGATCCAGAACCAGAACCAGGATCAGAACCAGGATCAGAAACAGATCCAGAACCAGGATCAGAACCAGATCCAGAATCAGAACCAGATTCAGAACCAGGATCAGAACCAGATCCAGAACCAGGATCAGAACCAGAACCAGGATCAGAACCAGGATCAGAACCAGATCCAGAACCACAGGCCCGGCCCGTAAGTGTCTTTATTTTCAGGTTTGGGTAACCGTTTCTGTTTGCAGACTCTTCCCGTCTTTTTCTCACTTTGTTTTTGTTCGTGTGAAATTTACTGGAACTGCTGTGGCTGTGTGTGTGTGTGTGTTTCTCTGTGTGTGTGTGTGTGTGTGTGTGTGTGTGTGATGTAATCATCAAGTGAGAAGTTGTGGCTTTTAAAAAGCAGCAGTTGTGTTTTCACACTCTGACATTTAACGCTTATTGGTGATAAATTCAGAGAAGTTTCTTCGTTTGGTTCCAGTTTGACGTCGACTCAAATCAGGATTTTAAACTAAATTATTTCAGTTAAATGAATCAATAAGTTGATTAACAAGCAGCTGGTTTTCCTGATGGTAATGTTCTGCTGGTTAGTAGGAACTTTATTTTCTCTCCACCTGCAGAGACTCGTTCAGAAATAGAAGAACTATTTTTACAGATCCTGTCCAGATTATCTGCTCACAGCAAAGCTGCTGAAATTAAAGATGGTCTAATCTGAAATAAACAGATCAATTCTCACAGTGAAGATGTGCAAACCGCAGCTTGAGCATCTCATCCTCCACACAACCTATGGAAGATCTGCTTCTGAAACACTTTGCATGTTTTTAAATAAAATGTTCAGAAAATCCACAGAAATGTGTGAAAATCTGCAGTTTCCTGTTGTGTTTGTTGCGCAGGAGGTTTGAAGAGCATCTGGATGAGAGCAGAGGATTTCACAGTGTTCTGCTGCATCAGGACCGGCTCACCTCCCATTTCATTTCCACCTAAGATAATCTGAGAATAAAATATTACAGCTTTTTAATAAAATATTACCTGAGTTAATCTCAAAGTTGATAAACTTTCAGTTTCAAGCATCTATCATTCTGACGTGAGTGAAACCTCTTCACATCCCACTGAGTAATCTGGTTATTTCTTATGACTGCATCAATAAATTTCGATCATGGAAATCATTCTAAGGCTGAGGATGAGCATTTATCACATCGTTTATCATTTATTATGATAACTGTTAAAAAAAATGTTTAGTTATTGTCACAATGGGGTTTAATTATTGATTAGTTGATTAATAACTGGATACAAATGTTGATTAGTAGGATGTTTTATACAGAACCAGGTGAAGCTAAAACTGCGTCTGGTCGAGTTCTGACTGAACAGATGAACAGACAAAGTTGTTTTCCTTTTTAATGAAAAATGTTTGCATTTTGTAGTTTTGGTTTAATATTTCAGCAAATGGTCCGTTCACTCAGTTAACATTAGTTAATTATTTCAATAATTTATTTATTGCGATTAATCATTTCAGTCTTATTTCAGATTCTTGTTTTTCAGATAATTATAATTTTATAATAAAGTTTGAATGAATGAAATTAAAAAATCAATATTTGACATATGTGGAATAATTTCTGTGTTTATGCAGAAATTTGATAATCAAAGATTCTTCCTCACAAACAGGAAATGTTTTCACAAAGTTTATGGAAATAAAATCAACTCAAACAGCAGCTAAATGTTGAATTCTTTATGACACAAAACATGATTTATTGCTTAAATGTGAATAAAAACAGTTTAATTTCTCTGTTGTTTCCAGGCACAAATCAACTTCCTGGTTCGTCGCTCTGAACAGGAAGCAGATCAACACAATTTATGAATAATTAGCTAAATTTGTTTAGCCTGAAGTGAAAAGAAACACACGCACACACAAGCACGCACGCACGCACACACACACACACACACACACACACACACACACACACACACACTCACACACGTCTGTTCTTGTTTGTTCCAGAAAATATTTTACTAAATGAAAGGGGTCTGAGTTTCTGAGGGAGCCGAGGCGATGAGTCTAACGCTGCAGCGGCGCCTCAACCTGATTGGCTGGTTCTGATGAATGAGTGAGCGAGTTAGACCGGAGAGCAAGGCGCGTTTGTAGAGAAAAGTTCAGACCGACCGCCTTCTCCCTCCTAACGTTCCCTGAACACATCACGCCGCGCCCTGAATGCATCACGCTGCGCAGTGCCCTGAATGCATCACGCTGCATTCAGTTACTTTATTTTAGTCTTGAACAACTATTTCTTAATTTTACTTGAGTAGAAATTATTTATTTTTGATCCTCCTCCCACCTGGATAGATTTTTATTTTTAATTAAATTATCAGCTTTGAATGTTTTCTCAGATTTTCTTTGATACTAAAATAATTTTTTGACTTGAAAAATTGAAGTGAGACAAAAATGTAAAACCAAATTAAATCTGGAAAGGGGTGAAAACTTTCCTCAGCTCTTTTTACTGCCATTAAATACTAATTATGAAGGAATTTGTCGTAAAACAGAATCATTTGTTTAAGGTCTCTGATTATCTGCAAGTTTTTTATTTACAGATGTTTGTTATTTTACATGAAAGTCTGAATTTCTAGACACATAAAGAATATTTTACGGTGATTTCTACTGAGTTATTAATATTCATTTATGTTTTGTTTGACTTCTGGATCCATTTGAGTCCCAAAGTGAAATAAACAGCTTCAAAATAAAAACCATGTTTCAGCGAGTCTGGAGAACAGAAACGTCACGTTTTCTGTTCTGACTGCGTCTCTGACCAAACTGATGCATTATGGGTATAAAAATGAGAGATAGCTGAGAACAAAAACACAAAAAGAAATCCAAAGAATAATTCACCTTAATACTTGCTTAATATTTTAAAATCCTCATTTTAAATGGTCCAATGAGAAGCTGCAAAATCCAGCTCAAACTGGAATCAAGCAATCTGATTGGACGATCTCCGGCTGTTGGACTGATGACCTTCAGACAGGAAGCCGTTTGTTTTTACTTTATTTTTTATCAGAGCTCCATGTTTCTGTCTGAACCTCCTCGCTTTATCGCCGCTGTACAGCAGCGTGTGTGTGGGTGTGTGTGTGTGTGTTATCTCAGCTAAGACACTCGCTCAGCACTCGCCTACAGAGCATGCAGGAAGAGGAGAGCAGTGAGGAAGAGGAGGAGGAGGAAGCATGCAGCTGGAGCAGCTTACCTGTTCTCAGGTAAAAGTTCTCTGAGAAGTGAAAGAACAAAATGAGACGGAAACAGATTAACACAGGTGTAAGCTGTCACACACACACACACACACACACACACACACACCAGAAGATAAATTTATAATACGAGGTATTTTAAAAACAATAATTTCATAATAATAATAATAATTTATAATAATTTTTTTACGTTGTGTAGAAACAGGAATTCAGAGTCGATGTTCAGGTTTGTTTTAAACGGATTAAAAAGTTTCTACAGTTTTAAAAGTTGGTCTGATTTCATCCAGGAGTTAAAATCGCAGCCAAACCAGATCAAACTGATCGATTAATCGATAACTGGAATACTGAGCCTGGAAAAGGCCAATCACTGGAACTGGACAAAAATATCAACATTTTACATTTAAATCAAAACTCATCTAGTCACAACTTTAACATTTTGTAAAAAAATCTCCTATTAGTCACCTTTGACATCCAGTTACTAATCAGGTAATCAATAATTAATGGTCTTTGCTCTGTATTGATGTTCAGCTTCTGTCATGTTGATGGATTTTAGCTGCAGATTCAAACATTCAGTGAAGTGAAAATAATCAATAATATGATTTATAACTAAAATAATTACTAGATCACGATCACCAGGCAGACCATTTATTTAACAAATTCAGCCGAGACCAGAACCAGAACCAGAACCAGAACCGCTGGCTGAACAACCGGACCTGAAAAACTAGCTTTTTATCAATTGTTCTGATAATTAATGTTCTAATTAATCAATAGCTGTTGCCTTCATGCAGCCTGGTCGGGGGTTTAATGAACTCCTAATATGTTGACCTTTGACCTCTTACATCAGCTGAACTGAAAGCAGAACTTGTCAGAACTGATGGAGAACCAGCGGCTCCTGTCTGAGCTCAGACGGCGTCGTGGTGGAGGAACGCGATCCGTTATCAGACGTTTTCCTGAGTCACGTTTGGCCCATCGGCCGACACTGAGGCAGAGCCGATGAATTCTCCAACATCGGGTCAAACCAACGATGAAGCCAACATTCTCTCAGCCAGAGGAGGAATGAGGAGAACAAAGTCTCACTGGATGTGAACGCTGAGCAGAAACTGGTGAATAATCACATCAATGATTCCGGCTTCAGCAAAATTCTTAAAAATAAGCAATAGCATAAAAATCTGCAGCATGTTTTCATGCTGTCATAGCTACCATTCCAGTCTACACACAGAAAATCAAGCTTAGCTATCCTCAGTTACTGATCTTTGATTTGACCACCAATAAGGGTTGTAATGACATAAGATGGGATGTTTTCTACCTTCATACAGAGGAACATGTGGAGGTCTGAACATGAGGTCGGCTGCAGAACTTTAGCCATTTACTGCATTATTCCAGAGTCTGTTTGGGTTTTGGAAATGTAATAAATCATGTTCTGTCCTCTAAACGCTCCGGGTAACGGCTGTGACCTTCATCCTATTATTTTCCTCTGAATTTCTCTGACCGCAGCGCGTCAGCGACGACGAACCCCGGCCATGCTGACGGAGGTTCGGTTCCTCCAGATAACGGGCGACGGCCGATTGGCGAGTAGATCACCAGCATGCTAGCTAACTGACAGGTGGCGTCACGCCAGCTGATCTGCATCCATCCATGAAGGCGACTTATTCATCAGAAACCAGCAGCCACTATGTGAGGAGCCAGCGGGTGGCCCTACCTTCTGGAGGCGTCAGCGTCTTGTGGTTCTGGGCGCACCAGCCCACCGGGTGCAGCTCGGCCGTCATCACGTCGCACCAGAAGTCGGCCCTGCGGTCGTCACCGTAGCCGCTGTAGCGCAGCAGCAGCAGCTGGCCGCAGGTGGTGATGATGGTGGCCACCCAGTAGGTCTCTGGGCTGCTCTTACTGGCCACCTCCAGCTTCATGCCAGGCTGGAAGCTGCTCTGCAGGCTGACCTCCACCTGCAGGGGGCAGCAGCGAGAGGAAGTCGCCTGAAACAAACTGCTGCTGATTTACAGCTAAACAGGAAAACACAAAACTGGTGGATATTTATTACTTAAAGTGTTTTAGGCATTCAATAAAAATAAGATATTGCGTTAGAGAAAACCGCAGAATAACGCATTAATTATGATAAATTATTAAACTATAACAGAAAAGTTGGTGTTAATATCTGACAGAAATACATCCACATATTGTTTAGGGCTGAAACACTTAATCAGTTATTAAAATAATAAGAATTATGACTTTTGTAAAATAAGAGTGAAATTATGGAATAGTTCAACAATTTTCTTTAGAAAGTTGTTTTTAAAAAATCATTTTTTGTGACTTAACCTGAACTTTTACATTTCTGGAAACCTGAGAAATTAAATATTAAAATTAAATTTGGTGAAATGAGAGAAACAGCAAACAAAACTAACAACACAATCATTTTTCATTCATGAGTTTTGTCAGTTGAAAATGGAAGAACGAGAGTTAAACAGATTCTACTGAAAATAGTTTGATTGTGTTTTAAAACCGTCGGCCAGAGAAAAAGGAAAACCGAATCCATCAGCAGCCAACAGGAAGTTCAGCCTGAATGAAACAAACATCTCAGAAATAAACAATACAGGCGACTTCCTGCTGCAGCGCCGACAACCAGCCGCTCGCAGTCTGCCGGGGTTACGGCCAGAGTGTGAGTGTGTGTGTGTGTGTGTGTGTGTGTGTGTGTGTGTGTGTGCCCAGGAGTCATCATTGTTTCAAGCAGAGAGAAGAACGAGGGCAGCTCTTCACTGAGATTCCCAGTAAGTCGTTTAGCCCCGCCCCCTCGCCCACAGAGAGCCAATCACCACGCAGCTTACTCAGCATCAGGACCGACTGCGTCTCCTCCACTGCTGAAACACCAACACACCTTTTAAAATCCAGACCACGAAACCAGCTGGAGTCTGGTGGTTGCTATGGAAACGCAGTGACACCAATTTCACTGCATTTCTACTCAAACTAAATGTTTGTTTTGCAGGAATTATTGGATGTTGGTGTGGAGCCAGATCATAGAAATGCAATAACAGATTCTATTTAACATTTTATGAATATTTTTTGTGCTAAAGTGTACAAAAACAGTGTTTTATCTTTTTAAACTATTTAAAAAAACTAATAATCACCACTTAGAAATCCAACTGAGCTGAAGAACGGGACTGTGTTGAACAGAGAAAGTCACTAAATGCAACTTCACTTGGAAAATAGTTTGCAAACAGCTAAAGGTCACGAGGTCAAGCAGAAAGAGCGCGGCGGCGGCGGCGTACATGTCTGAAGATGGTGTGCGGGGCGGCGGTGGCTCCCGTCTCCTCCAGGTACTCCTCCCACATGAACTCTTCCTCCATGGACTCGGCACCTGAACGCAACACGAACACACCGCAGCTCAGCGATAACACAGATTATTCCTTTACTTAACATCACATGAAGCAAATATTCAGGAGTTTCTAAACCTTTAAAAACAAGTTTCAGAGATTAAAACATTTTCTTTCATTTTTTTCTCTTCCAACCACTGAGCCACAAATGAGAGAAAAAACATTTAATCGTGTTTCTGCTGCTGCAAACTGAATTTAACCACAATTAAAAAATATTTTCCTTCCTTTATAATTATGATCTATGTTGTTTTTGTCACAGCCTGAGGAATATTTAAATAGTTTCGTTAACATTCTGGTAGTAATTTCCAGCCGCTGCAGGTTTTCTGTTGGTTTGTTAGAAAAGTCGAGCTGATAAAACACTGAGCCAAGAGGAAAAACAAAAACTTTTATTTCTGAATATTTGTTTTTGGAGTTTGCCGCCTGCATCAGGATGACTTTTCTTTGGTGCATAAAAGTTGATTATTAATTAAATGTTGGTGTCTGCCATGCTCAGTTTAGTGTTGTGTAACGGCGGCAGGTGGTGAGGCGTTCAGGAAACCTCTGAATTTCAACACTTTCTAACATCAAGTAAATTCTGTGGGAAGCGTTGGGACAGTCTGCAGGCGGTCAGAGCGGCTGCAAAGTTCTGACTCAGTTTGGCTAAATGCAGATGCATGCCACACTTTTCAGATTTGTTCAGAAACTGTTGAAAATGGCTCCTGATGAATAAAATCCAGCTGAAGTGAAGCCGTCGCTGATTGCAGACAGAAAAACGGTCCTGGCCTCCTGCAGTTACTCATCTCACCTGTGGTCACCTGTTCCTCCTTCCCATTGGTCGGCTGATCCTGAGCGCCTGTCTGCATCCTGCCGCTTCGACCTTTGAACTCTGTGCTTCAGTCCTGCCTCAGAGCATTGCTTCACGTCCCGATCAGACCTGCAGGACAAAAGTTCAGACGACAGGTTCTTCCACAGATACTACAAACAATTTTTTACCAAATTAGCATTTTGATATAAACCTCTTAAAAAACCTTTTTCTGACTTCTACAGATTTTAATTGTTTTAATTTTCTTACTTTTTGTATGAATGTTTGTATCTTGTATTTCTTGTATGGATACAGATGGAAAAAAAGCATTCAGATAAATCTAATACATCTACATTGATCGTTTATTAATTATTTCACAACCAGAGCAACACATGAAACACCAACAGCTTCACAGCGTCGGTCCAACATGATTAATCTGTTCAGTCGGACAAATCAGGAGCGAAACAGCAAATGGAAAATAAATAAAATGACAAAAGGTTGACTAAAAGCACTCAGCAGGCATAAAAGGAGAATTTCCAGTTTGTTTAGAATAAAATCAAAAAGATGCAAAGCAAAAATCCTGCAGACATTAAAGAGGAAGTTTGTCTAAACTCTGCAGTTATTTATCAGCCTGTAATTGCAGCATCTGCAGCGTCTGCAGCATCTGCAGCGTCTGCAGCGTAACGTCTGCCTGACGTCTGCACGCAACAATCTTATAAAATATTTATCCGAATGAACCAGAGAGGCGGCGAGTCAGAGATGGCGGCTTCATAAGAGCAGCTCTGCAACCAACTGAGGTCATTCATGTCGCAGCTGCTGGCTGTTAGCCTAAACCTGCTAGCCATTAGCCTAAACTTGCTGGCTGTTAGCATAAACCTGCAAGCTGTTAGCCTAAACCTGCTGGCTGTTAGCCTAAACCTGCTGGCTGTTAGCCTAAACCTGCTGGCTGTTAGCCTAAACCTGCTAGCAGTTAGCCTAAACCTGCTAGCAGTTAGCAGTGTTCTGGGAGGAAAACCAGACAGATCGCAAAAACCCGGATAAATGGAAACACTCGGCTGCTGTTTGGGCTCAGAGGGAGTGTGTGCAGAGCTGTACAAAGGCTGACAGTCTCCACACACACACACACACACACACACACACACACACACACACAGATCCCGTTGTGTAAATACACTGGACTAACGTGGCTCACATGACACCTCTCCTTCTGAAGAGTTTGTTCATTTTTTAAAAACACTTCAGTATCTTCCATGTTTTTCAGTATTTTTATCTGGATTTTGTTCAGCTGGCCCTGAACACACCGTCCCCATCATGGTGGTGGCAGCATTATGCTGAGGCTGTTTTCCAGCTAATGGAAGCTGCTTCAGAGCTGATGGAGAGAAATCCAGGAGAGATTTTAAGAAAACTGAACAAAAACAGTCCAGATATTAATTCTGACGTGAATCTGATCACCATTAGATTACTGAAATAATCGTCAACTAATTTAATAATCAATCATTAACTGGAGACTTAAAAATGGTATTTTGTTGAAACAATAACACTCAGACTGTTAGTTTTAGTTTTATCTTCTTCTGGTTCAGATTCACTACAGGAATGTTGTTATATTAAATGTTTATTTTCTTATTTTAACATGATTTAACTACTGGTTTATTAGAATATTTCAATGTGTTTCTAATGTTGTATGCAAAGTTTTAAGTGGTTCAATGAAAATCTGCATAATGTACCAATTTTGTTTTATTTCATTAACCAATTAATCACTTAAAAATCGACATATACAGAATTTTCATTTTCACTCTTAAACCTTTTCGTACAATTATAGAAATACATTAAAAGATGCAAATAAACAAATAGTTACATTTCTTTTTTAAATAAGAAAATAAACTTTTTTGGCCTAAAATTTAATAATTTTCCTTCAGTGAATCTGAAACAGATGAAGATGAAACTAAAACTTTACAACTTCAGAAGTTTTGGTTAAATTATATTTACAGACAAAAAGTTTTCATCTTAAATTCAAAATGTTTATATTTTGTAATTTTTGCTGGGTTTTTTCCGCCAAATGGCCTTTTTGAGCCTCCAGTTACAAATTAATTGATTACTAAATTAGTTGATAATTATTGTAATAAATGATTAATCACGATTAATCATTTTCAGCGCTTCAGGTTTTGGCTGAAACTCTCAGACATGATTCACCTGCATGAGATTTGGTCCAACATTTTATTGATGGACGGGATGTTTACGGAGTTTTCCAGCCTCATTCCCAGTTTTCCTCCGTGACCCTGTGGAGCGCCCCCTGCTGCTCACACATTTCATTACAATCTCGTAAAGAATCACCCAGTCTGCACTGGGCAGCTCCTTCTGGTTTTCTCTGGATTTTAAGGATGTTTGGTTTCCAGGTCTGGTTTCCAGATAATGGCTGCTGGCTCGGGCGGATTAAGCGGCCGCTGCCGTTAATCTGAGCGGACGGCTGGAGGCCCCGCCGCCTCAGATTGAGAGTTTTTAACTGATTGGGCCCAGATGGGCGCCGGGCGCCACGTGCCGCCCTTCTGCCATCCACCACAGATTTAACGAGGGATTAGGAGATTAACTCCCACTGCAGGCCTGGCTTACCGCCGGCTAGGTTCTGCTGTTCCTGACCCGTCCAGAAACGTTTCTGGTTCTGGTTCTGAATGGATCGACACAAACGATCCGATGAGAGCCAACAGAATCACAGGACTAAAGATCTGATCTGTCAAAAACCTTTTGGGTGATTTTAAACCAAACTGGACTCTGAATAATCTGTTGAGATTTTCACTTTTCATCTAAAACCTGCCGGTTTTTCCTCGTCTTCCTTCTCCACATCGGAACATTTCCACAGGAAAAACTGAAAATATATGAAAAACGGAACCAGAAGCTGAAACCTTTACAGTTCTGCAGGTTTAATGAAGTTCAGGCTGCTTCTGATGAGATCAATAAAAATATTCAGTTTTCAAACGATTTTCTGATCTTTCAAACCAAAAATAAAAACTTTGGGTGTTTTTTTTATTTTATTTTTTATTTTAAACAAAACTGACTCTAAATGATTAGTTAATTGAGCAACCATTCAGGAAAATGTACACTCTAAAAAGAAAATAGTTGAACCAACTTAACTGAATTGCTTCTGTAGGTAACAATCAATTCAATTAAGTTTACCCAACTTAATTTATTAAGTTTAACGAATTAATATATTATAATCATCCAACTCAATTTGTTAAGTCAGTCTTACTCAAATCATTTAGTTTACTTCAAAAACGGTAAATAAAAACTTAAATAACACTTTTGACCACTGAAAGCACATATTCACACATTTATTTAATGCTCAGATCGGTGGGCAACTTGGGATTAAGTTCCTGGGGACAGATTAACATATGAGAGGAGGAAGCTGGAATTGAACCGTCAACCTTCCGATCACAAGGCAACTACTCTACCCACAGAGCCACAGTCACTTACTGGGGATCTGTCCTGAGTCATGGTGTCAGACGAGGGACACAAACATGGTATTGAACTTAATTATTTCAAGTAAAGTCAAAGTAAAAAAAAAATAAATGATTTGAGTAAGAATGACTTAAATTTGTCATGTTAAACCCCCTTATGAATTAAGTTATAAAAACTTAGCAAATTGAGTTGGATGATCATAATAAATTGAGTTGGTCAGACAAAACTGGCATTGAACTCAATTGTTTTAGGTCAAAGGGAAAAGTTCCTTTGGGATAAAGATTTGTAAGTTTTGAGTTAAATGAACACAAAAAAGTAAGTTGTCATAGCAAAAGCAAAAGAATTAAGTAAAATTAATGTAAATAAGTCCATAAGATGAACTGCAGCCCAAAAACACTTTTAGAAACTAAGTTTTTAAATGTTCATCTGAGAAAAAATGGGATTATTGAGTTTTTGACCAATCAGAGCTGATCCTGGATAAATTGGCGCATCCTTCAGCATAACTCAGAAAAATCAGAAATAAGAGCTTCAGAAGCGGATAAATAAATATTCAGCCCGATTTTCTGCTCAAATCTTTGTTTTCGGGTTTTTTGTTGTTTTTTTTTTTTTTTTTTTTTTTTTTTTTTTGCTTCCGCCGTTGAATCTGGAGCAGGAATCTTCTGGAAAAATGACCAGAACTCCCAGCCAGAAATATTCTGGATGCTCTCGGAGTGCGTGGGGTTTGCGTGGGGTGTTGCGTGACGGCTCCCCGCGGCCCCCGCCGCGTGCCACGATGAAAGAGCGTTTTGGGAGAAAAGTGAAAGAGGAAACGCGGCGCGCTCAGAGGAAGATGAGGCTGGGTGGAACCAGCCGCCCTGCAGCTCTTAGACTTTGCACACTGAAAAACTGCAGCGGAAAAAAACTCCCACGGAGCTGCCCCACGCGCACTTCGGATTTAATTGATTAAATCTCGCGTGTGTCCATCAAAAGAAACCGAACCGGAGCCGGTCGGAGCCGCCGTTCGGTTTTTTCCTCCTTCAAAGATTTTCGGAGGCAGTTTTCAGCTCTTCCACTCGACCAGCTCACAGCCCGCCATGTTGAGACTGCCGTGACATTTCCACACTGTCCGGTGCTTTCCCACGGACTTATTTCTCTCACGGCTGACGAAGAAAAATGTCCCGCGAGTCGCGTCATCGACAAAAACACACCAAGAAACCATTTTTACATCGCGAGGGAATTCAACTTAAACCCCACGGGATTCGGTTTTTATTTAATTTCCTGTTTTTTCTCAGCGTGGAAAATAAAATGAAATATTTTTTACCGGTTTGCGGGGTCCGCTGCGGGTCTGGGGGCAGGAAGAGTCCCGCAGAAACTAGTTTATCGCTTCTTCCTCCTGCAGAAACACACCGACTCACTCCGAGAGCGTCTAAAAGCAGCAGGAGGAGGAAAGAACTCGCTGCGTGGGTCCGCCGCGTCCACGCAGCGCAAACCGGAACCCACGGAGGTAAAGAGGCGTCGGGAAGCGGGCCGGGGCCCTCACCTGTCTTACCTGTCCCGGTTTGTCCTCCGCAGACCCCCCCTCCTCCTCTCTCAGCTGCTGCCGCCGCTGCCACCGTTTCAATATGGCATCTCCCCACTGCGCATGTCCGCAAACATGTAGAGATATTTTGGAGCCAACTCCTCCACTGACCTTTCAGCGCAGAGAGAAACGGCGCAGAAAAACCCAAAGATCAGGCTGCGGCGAGCAACCGACGCACACGCAGCGTCAGCGCACGCTCAACCAGGAAGTCCGTCTGTTCGGTGTGCGCGAGCTTCACAGCAATAAAAGCAACAGACAATAAAAGCAACAATAAAAAGGTTTTATGGGAAGTTTTTCTGTTTCCATCTCTCTGCTGGAGTTTCTCCTGATTTGGAACCAAATTGTTTTTGGAGTTTTGATTGAAACTTTGGTTTTATTTTATAGTTGTTGATTTAATCAATTAGTTTCAACAACTTAATTCGGTTTTAATTTTGTCTCATTTATTATTGAGTTGGTATATTTGTTTCAACAGCCAGACTCCAGTAAGACATCTGTTTTCATCTGGCTGAATAAAATTACAATAAAAACTTTATTATTTATTTATTCGTGTTTTTATGTTTCTTCATACTCAGAATCCTAACCGGGTCATCGTCTGTTCTCCGACCCGTTTCCTATCACTGTCTGATCACAGATGGCTGCCAGGTTCTGGTTCTGGTTCTGGTTTCCTGCCCACTGTCGCCACATGCTTGTTCATAAGGAAGGACTGGATCAGATGATTCTTTCCATTCTGATCAGTTTTAGGATCTGATTAGTGAATCTGATCGATTATTTAAATCTGTTTTTCTTGTAAAATGATATTTTGTTGTGAAATTAATCGATCATCTATTGACTGAGTCTCGGTTTATTTGATCAGATATTTTGTTCTTTTGGTTCCATATTTTCATAACAGATAATTTTTAAATCCAGACATTCATCACATGCACCTCGTTTTGTTTTGTTTCTGATTCTTTGGACCAGATTAAAATAATCCAGTTTGGATTCTTCTTCTTCTTTTTTATCATATTTAGTTTGAAGCTTTGATCTGGATCAGTTTGGTCTGTTGAACATGAATCTCCTCCAGTTTGTTTTCTTCATAATTTCCATGTTTCATTTTGTATTTTATCATTTTAAAAGTTTTTTTCTCTCTTTCATTTTGTTCCACATCTTGTTTCTCGGTTCTGCTTTATTTGAAGCCATGTTTCATTTATCATTTATTTCATGCACCCACTTGTTTTTGTCTCATTAATTAGTTTGTTGTTTTTATCAGTTGTAATAAAAGTGTTTGATAATCTCATAAAACAAATCATTTTATTTAGCAGTCACAGAATCAACATGATTCTTAGGAAACCAGTCAGTCATTTTCTCCCTCAACTCTTTACTAGTATTTTTTTTCTCCAGTTAATCCAAATTATTTTACTTTAATTTTTTTCCCTTTGTGTTATTATTGTTTTTTTCTTAAATCTCACTTTTTCTCTTTACACCTTCAAAGTTTCCAGTATTGCTGGCCCACGGCGCCCCCTAGCGGCTCCACGCTGCATCTTCTTCCTTCACGAGGCTCTTTGCTAAACTATAAACAATCATTTAAACCAAACTTGTAATTTTCACCAATGAAAATGTGACTTTGTAAAGATGTTGATCCACCAGGAAGCTGCTGCAGGTTTGATGGGAAATTTAAATTTAATTTTAAGTAAACAGTTCCTCTCTAGAAGTTTGACCTTTGGAAATGATTCTGAAACAGAAGGATTATGATTTTAATGTGTTTCTCGGTGTTTCCCAACAAAATCCCAGTTAAATGTCTGACAGAGTTTAAGGAACAGAAACGGAATAAAGTTCAGCCGACAGACAGATGGGAAGATTATAACCTGATTTTAATATCTAAACGTTTTTATTTTAAATAAATAGATGTGTTTTAGCTCCATGGCTGATTTCCTCCGACTGGGAGTTTGTCTGCGGCGCAGTTTTTCTTTGCGTGGCGCAGTCCGCGGCGGTGCTGCATGGCCTGGACCCGTCCAGAACCATCAGAGGAAGCTGCCGGTTCTGCAGGAACAGATGGCCGAAGCGTGGCTCAGTTTAATCTGCACGAGAAGGAGCTTTTCCGGGCGCGCGGGGAGAGGATTAGCCTCCAGAGAGCGCGCGCAGGCGGACACGTGCTGCGGGATGTTTCTGTTCTCCACACTGGACCCAAATATTAACATTCATGTTCAGAACCAACTGCAGGAGACATTCTGTCATCAGTGAAGAACGAAGGGAGTCCGACTAAAATGCATGCCACACTTTTCAGATTTCCCTGAAACGTGTTTCACTTTGTCTCATAAAGTTTCACTAAAATCTCTGAGAGTTTTGGAACAAAGGAAAGGTTGAAGGGTGTGAACACTTTCTGTGTTTATCAAATCAGTCTAATTTCAATTTTTCAAAAATCGATTTTTTTTTAAGTGTTTTGTGGTTTTTGGACGTTTTCAGATTCTGAGAATCTCAACTCGTTCAGAGAGAAACGATCAGATCTACACAGAATTAGTACAGTCCTTGATTTATCCTCACTGGTCCTGGTCCTGGTCCTGGTCCTGGTCCTGGTCCTGGTTCTGGTTCTGGTCCTGGTCCTGGTCCTGGTTCTGGTCCTGGTTCTGCAGGTTGGTCATCTGAAAACATTTCTTGGTTTTTATAAAATGAGACTTAAATTTTTTCTCGTTTTTCTGTCCAGCAGCACAAGCTAAAAAATATTTTTTGTTTCTCGTTTTGCTCATTTTGTCTCATGTTTTGATGATTTTTCCTATGTTCTGTTATCAGGCTCATGTTCTTGTATGGTCAACCCGGCAGAACCGGCCCGACCCGGGCCGTTGGGGCCGGTTTTACTGTGAACCCCTGAAGAATCTGGGTCATCTGTGGATTTGTGGGGATATGAGGCAGATTAATTTCACGGAGTCCTGAGCCGTAAATATAAACGTTTGATTCTTCAAACGTCGGTCAGGAATATTCTGGATTTATTGTTTTCATGGAACGATCCGGGTTCTACAGAACTATTTCTGTTTCCTGTTTCTGATTTAAAGGTCATAATTTAACTCCACTGATGACCCAAAAAACACAAAGACTTCTGGGAAAATATTCTGTGGACTGAAGTTGGTCCAGTTGGATCTGAACACAAGACTCCAGAACCAGAACGACCCGCCTGGTGGTGGCGGTGTGGTGATGTGGGCTGCTTCAGAACCAGCAGAACTAAATGGATCCATGAGTTCTGCTCTGCAGCAGGAGAAGGTCCGACCGGACTTCCAGCAAGTTCACCTCAGAAAAAACAGTACAATTCATGTTTTAGGGTGGCCTAGTCAAAGTAAAGTACAGAATCTGATTGAATTGCTCCAGCTTGACCTCCAGGAGGGGTCAGACGGTTCGTTAGGAGAGAGTTTATTATTCTCATAATAAAAGAAATGTATGACTTGAAAACATTTTTTTAAAATTCTTCTCAGGTTATTTTTGTGTTATTAATATTCAGTTTATTATCTAAACATCAAAGCAACAACAAAACACATCTGTAAGGAGTTATCTGTTTTTTAACAGCGCGTCGCCACAGCATCCATAAAGTTCATTTAAATTAAATACGTCATATCTGGTTTTTAATATCAAAATAAAAGTCTATTTTATTTGATTACAGTTTTAAAAATAAATACTAATTAAATGTCACAATTTTAAATACTTTTAATCATAATCTGGTGATTTTTTTGGTGCTTTATAGAGATATTAATTTGATTTTTTTTCCTTATAACTGAAGACATTTGGATATCAGAAAATATTTCACTTTTGTCACTAAAATATTTGACATTATTCCGGATTTTTTTGTATAACATTTCTCAGATAATTAATATTTTCAGTCTTTATTTACTTTATCTGTCATAGATTTTAGAATAAAATATATTCTTAATCGGTGGTCGATCCGTTTGAGTTTGTTCCAGCTGGTGCTTTTATTTTGAAGCGGCGTCACCGGAAGCTGGTGTTGGTGTCGCTGCGCCGCTTTCCGGCGGGTCCATCCCTGTTGTTGTGGGTCGGAACATCGATGCTGCGGTTCGCCTGAACTCCCCGGGATGTAGCCACTTTCTGGGCCGACACCAAGCAGAACGGAACCGAAGGCCGCGCCGGTCCAAACGGAACCGAGTCGGGGTGGATTCATGACAATAATGGAGCGGTTCGGGTTCGGCGGGGTCGTTCTGGTAAAGCGGGTTTTGGACCTCGGTCCGGTCGTGGTGGCCAACATGTCCGACATTAACAAGGCCGGACCGCACGGCTGCGATAACGGAGCTCTGACGGACCGGTTCGGGGTTCTGATCCAGGCTCTGCTGGCCGTCGTGGCCTTCAGCACGCTGATGTGTGAGTACCGCCAGGGTTCTGGTTCTGGTTCTGGTTCTGATTCTGGTTCTGGATGGCCTTCATGAGCCAACGTGGCATCTGGTTCCCACTGGACGGAACCAGAACCGCTTCCAGAACTTCTCCACCCAGAATGAACGAGCTTCACACACACTGGAACAGAATCGAGTCTTTGGTCCGGATCCGATCAGATCTGAGGCCCGGTTCTGGACAGAACCTGAACCTCAGAGTTCTGACCCGCTCCAGTAGGCAGGATGGCTTTAATAGACTCATCTCAATCAGATTCAGGTCCAGGCTTTGACTAGGCCACTCTGAAAGCTTCTTTGTGGATCTTCTCTGAGGTGGTTCCGGTCAGCCCAGTCTCTCGTGACCTTTGACCTTAGCTTGTGCTCTGGGGTTCATCAGGAATTGATTGTTTTTCCTTTAAGTTTCTCATCTTATCTTTGATTATTGATCGGTCAGAGTCCTGCGGCTCCTGAGCCAATAATCAATCAGGCTGATCGATTCTTCATCCTGACGTCTTCCTCTCTCCATGTGGGGTCAGAGCGCCCCCTGCCGGGCTCCACTCCGACCTGCAGCAGTCTGAAAAAGCCTGGAGTCAGATTCCAGGATTTTCCAGGGTTATCCAGGAACCCTGAAGTTTTGACCCAGTTTGGCTCCAGAATATTCAGTCAGGAAATCCCTTTTGAAGTTGTTACTGCAGCTCTAAAGCACGGTGGAGGGAGAGTCATGCTTTGGTCATTTCCATCTGTAGAGTTTTTATAACAATGAATTTATTTGAAACAATTTCCAGACACAAAACAGCTTTTAATTAAAACCTGAAATAAATATGTGTGTTTCTCTAAAGTAGATAAAACATGAAGTGATGAAGCGTTTCTCCAGCTGAAGTCGGCGTGTGACTGATCTGCAGCCTGTGTGTGTTTGCAGTGAAGCGTTTCCGGGAGCCAGCAGGCGTCAGGCGGCCCTGGAGGATCTGGTCAGGCCACTTCCTGCTTTTACTGTCCGGATGGAAAACCGAGGACGTTTTTACATTTTTAAGGTGTTTTGTCTTTTCCAGGTTTTTCGACACGTCCAAGCAGGCCATCGGAGCGCTCTTCATCCACTTCGCCAACGTCTTCCTGTCCACGCTAACCAAGGAGGATCCCTGCTCTCTGTGAGTCCCAAATCCAACATGGCTGACCCGACACGCTGCTAGCTGCTAGCTGCTAGCTGCTAGCTGCAGTCACTAAGCTGTAGTCTAACATCCTTACATGTAGTTTTTTTCCCCTGTGAGCCAGAATCCTGAAAACAAACAGAAATTAAAAAAAGCAGCGGTGTGGTTATTCCGGTGTTTTCCTCTGAAGGTACCTGATGAACTTCCTGCTGGATGCGACGCTGGGAATGCTGGTGATCTGGGCGGCTGTGAAACTGGTTTCCAGACTGGTGGAGATCAAGCAGTGGAGTCTGCTTTCCTTTGGAGAATACGGTGAGAGGAAATCCTTCAGCTCATGAGAAAACACACAGAAACTACACCAACAGCTGGCTGAATCACGATTAATCACGATTAATCAATGATTTAAATAATCATCAGATAGATTAGTTGTCGATTAATCGTTAATAGGAGTAAAAAGAGGCTAAAAACAGACATTTGATGAAAGAAGAACACAATCAGAGCAGAAATGAAGCCAAAACTCAACAATAAATATCAACATTTTCCATTTAAGATAAAAACAAATTATTTTCCTGTAAATCTGTTCAACCAGAACTCCTCTAGTGGCAGCTTCAGCTTCACCCACTTCACGTTCTGTGAAATAATCACCTCATTAATACAAATAATAATCAACACATTAATAGACAGAATTTTTTAGCTGCAGATTTATCTTTTAAGCATTCATAAAAGAAATGCTGTTATTACGTTTTAGGTAAGAAAATCTCATTATTCAAAAATGTAATTGAGTTTTTTGTTTACTTGCATCTTTTAATGTATTTCTAATATTGTGTAAAAAATGGCTTAAGTAGTTACATAAAAAATCTGCAGAATTTCCTATTTTTAAATCCAATTAATTGATTGACTGTCAGAATAATCGATACTAAAATAATGTCTGAATAAAAGTGAAGGCAGGAGGAGCAGTTCCAGAGTCTGCCACTAGAGGGTGCTGTGGTGAACTAACCCAACCTGTTGTGCTGGATCAGCTCAGGTTGTGAACGTCTGTCTCCACCAGGCGACCCTCCGCAGGCGGCGGCGTGGCTGGGTCAGGGCGGCGTCTACCTGCTCATCATGGTTCTGGAGAAAGGCGTGATCAGCCTGGTTCTGCTCGTCCCCGGATGGTCCAGAGTAAGACGGGTCAAAATGAACTGAAAGTTTGGGACCTGGGGTCCAGGTCCGGTCCTGAAGATCTGACATCCTGCATGTTTCACATCACGTGTGTCAAACTGAAGGCTGGGGGCCAAATCCGGCCCACCGTAGCTTCTCATGTGGCCCTCCAGACTCCAGAGGGACGCATGAATATAACCTTCAATATTACAACTGAGCTGAAATATTATGTCATTAACCACATTAAAACCATTTCTATCCGTTTACTGACAAATTTAATCAGTTTTATTTTGCAGAAATTTAAGTAAAAATCAAAACTTCACAATATTTTGCAAATTCATAATTGTGAGTTTATTGCAACTTTTCTGCAAAAATAGTTAAAAACGTTGGATTTAAGTGATTCTAACTCCCACCTGCAGGTGGCAGCATTTCCTTCTTATGCTGTACTACTTAGCCTTATAGTTACTGTCATACATAAATGCAAATATTGCAAAATTCCTTACAAATATTTCTGAATTAGCCCAGAATCAGTGATTTAGTGGAAAAAAATCCCCAAAATAATCCTGTATCCTGATGAGTTCACTAAAGATGTACTCGGCTGTTCATTTTTATTTTAACTTTCATTTTCTGGGATCACCGGCCCTTTAAGAACCTCCCTGATGTGGAAATGAGTTTGCTTTGGATGTTCCCCTGAGTTAACTGTAGTTCCTCTGTTCCAGCTGCAGGAGGTGCTGCTGAGCTACATCGCTAACCCTCAGCTGGAGCTGGCGCTGGTCATGCTCATCGTGCCGTTCATCGTTAATGTAAGCTGATTCAACGGTCGGGTCGGGTCGGGTCGGGTTCGGTCAGAGAGTGACTTCATGCTGTTCCTCTGCTGCCCCCTGCAGGCCATCATGTTCTGGGTGGTCGACAGCCTGACCATGAGGAAATACAAGACCATGACGGGCCTGGAGCACAGCGGAGACTCCAAGCAGAAGGCCGAGGCTCTGCCAGCAGGGGGCAGCAGCGAGGAGGCCCAGGTGAGAATGAGTTCATTGTTTCTGTACGGCGCCCCCTAGAGGACATGGGAGCTGGAAGTGTTTCAGTTTTAAGGTTTGTTAATATTTGAAGTTTTATCTTTTTCTTTAGGATATAAATGAACCTGAAACTTATGAACAAAAATCAAAACAGGTCAAACATAAACTTTCCGTCTATTTTCATGAACAGAAACTTTCTGTAAGGAAGAAAAAACTATTTCCAAACTATTTGGAGTATTTTTGAGCTATAAAGTTTTTATTTCTTTTCATGCGCCGTCTCCTCTCCTCTTTTAAACAAACATGATTAAAAATCAATTTTCAGCCAGTTTCTGCACCAGTTAAAGGTGTAGAAACGTGTTTAAAGGTTAATTTTAAATGAACATTTGATACTAAACGCAACACGGTGTTTTTGCTCATTTATTGAGAGGGAACTCAGAAGAACAGACATTGCCCCATGTCCCCCAGGGGGCGCTATTTGTCTTGGCTTTCAGTCCAGGTTCTGGTACAGTTCTAACCTAAATTGGGTTCTGGATCAGAACCTGGTTTGTTTCTCCAGGACCAGATGAGAGATTGTGTAAGTTAATATCTACAACATGATGCAATAAACCGGTAAAAATAAACTCAACTCTTCAAATGATTTGATAACCTAAGAGCTCCAGTCGACTGCTGAGTCTGTAAGATTGGAGATGTTCTGACTGTGGGAGAACCTGAGGGCCCCGAGAGGCCCCTGTCTGTCTGCTGCAGCTCAGAGGAACGGTCCATCACTGACCCGTGCTCCGGTAGACAATTCGGTCCACGCTCCGGTAGACGCTCCGGTAGACAATCCGGTAGACGATCCGGTATACGATCCGGTAGACGCTCCATTAGACGCTCCAGTAGACTCTCTGGTAGACGCTCCGGTCCAACGTTGGTTTTTGTTTCTATTTTAAGGTTTTGTATCTCAAGATTCTTGTTTGATCGTCATGTGGAATTGAGACGCAGCAGTTTCATAAACTGACCCGTTTTTTTATTCTCCTCAAATTTCTCTGTTGTAATCAGTTTTCTGAACACAGAGGCCATGTTTTCAGTTTCCATCATCTCAGGGGTCGTGACCTTTGTGCGTAACGGGATTAGAGGCTTTGTTCCTTCCTTCCCTGGCGCGCTGCCAGGCGGCCATGAGTCGAGCCTTCATCCAGGGAATAAAAGTGACATTTATGGAGCGTCTGCAGGCTGATGGGATGGAAAGCAGAGGAGGAAGAGGAGGAGGAAGAGGAGCGCTCTTCACTGATGCTCACAGCAGAGTTCAGCTTTCAACTGCAGGAATATTTCAGCTGTTTAAACTATAAATCACATAGAAAAAAAGCAGCAATAAAAGATTTAAAACCGTTTGTAGAGATAAAAATACAGTTTAGAAGAGGGGTGTCCAAAATGTGGCCTGGGGCCATTTGTGGCCCTAGAAATGATTTTGTTTGGCCCCTGACTAAAGTTAAGAATGGATAAAATTAGGCCAACAAAACAGAAAACAACCGATTACACAAAAATAAGATTTTTTTCTGTTTTACTGAAAATCTTTTTATGTTTTGGATCTTTAATGATAAACAGATTTCATACAAAGATGTTGAGAAACTTTTCTTGTTTAAATGATTTATGATGATAACAAACAGCAGCATGTTGTTCTACATTCATAAATCTGATGGACTCTAATAAGGAGTGATGTCACTTCCTTTGATGGTTTGGAGTCGTAGATTCAGAACATCCAGACTGGGAATGCTGAACTGGGATAACTGGTCGGCTCTCCTTCCTCAGGTTCTGCTGGCTGAGAGCGACTCCGGCGAGGAAGAGGAGGAGGATGAAGAGCAGCGGGTCCATGTTCAGTACTCAGGCGGGCCGCTGAGACCCAGCTGGGTGGTGGTGTAGAAACGGTCCAGTCAAATCCTCAGCCTCATCTTCATCACTAGGCCTTCAGTTTCCTGCCTTTTTGTAGAAGAAACTCTGAGAGGAATCAGAGTGATGATGTCATCAGAACAGTGACATCATCAGAACTGTGACATCATCAGAACTGTGACATCATCAGAACAGTGACTGTTCCAGAACCAGAACCTCGGGTTCTGCTCTTGCAGTAAATCCGGATCAGAATGGTTCTGCATTTCAGGAGGAAAATGAGTTTATTAAAAAATAAAGTTATTAGAAATGAGCCGCTGCTGATCCTCAGAGATCAATCTGATTATTATTAACAGAGTTTAACCTCTGACCTCTGACCTGAGCTCCCAGCAGTTTATATTATCAGATTATTTTGAATTCCTTCTGCCTTCGTTGTGAAGCGTTAAACTGAGGTGGTTCTGTTTGGGTCAGAAGCAGAACCTCAAGCTGTCCAGAAACAAATCCATCTGCTCTGCTGCTCAGTGCACTGAAGTTTTTCCTTCCACCTGATTTTCCACTGAATCATTCCTCTGCAGCTCCAGAATCAGAATCTGTTTGGTTGGTAAATCATACAAAATGTTTTGTGAAGAATTATGATGTTTTTCTACATAAATAAAAACTAATATTTGGGTTAAAAAATAATTTCTCTAATAATTTTGGTAGAACGACTTTTGTCTTGAATGAATTGAACTCCACATGTAGCCAAAGGAATGTTTAATAATCTGTGCAGTAATATAATTATCACATTTATTTGTATTTGTTTACTGAGATACTTATATTCTGGGATCGATTCTTTAATCATATTTCTGTTTATTCCTCATTGCTTCATGTTTTATTTGTACTTGAATGTATTTTTAATAAACCAAATAAAGGATGAAAGGTTCTGCTGGTTCCGGTCAGACCCAAAGGCCCGCTCTGCTCTGAACCTGAATAAACATGATTATTCTGAGACCAGAGCTGCTGTTGGAGTTCAGTTCTTACCACCGACACCTGTGAGGGCGGGGCCTGCAGCACACCTGTGTGGGCGGGGCCTGCGGTGCAGCTGCAGGTTAATGAGGCCAGGTAGCAAACAGCTGTTAGAGAAATTTAACAAATGAGTCTAAAACTAGTTTAAAGGTTTTATTCACCTCAACATGGAAAATATTAAACAGCATAAAACATTTCATTTCATTAGAAATAGAAAATAAAACGTACAGGTACAAACATGACGTCATTAAGTTATAGTTGGATGCTTAGTTAAATCAGATAATAATTAATAATGATAATAATGACAGTGCTCATGCGTTGTTGTTTCCGGTGTCGAACAGGTGAGCCGTGACGTAATCCTCGTACCGGCCGTCGATCAGCTTCTCTGCGTTGTTCCGGGCAAACCAGCAGTCCACGCTCTGCTTCCCGCCGTAGATCCGCCTGCTCTTCCGAACCACCGGTACCGACCGCTCCTTCACCTTCAGGAATGCGGTCGGGTTCAAGTCTCCCGCATCTCCCGGCGCGGGAAGCGCAGGAAGCGGCGCCACGCCCACTTCCTCATGCAGGAACTGACCTGGAGTCAGGAAGAAACAGTCAGGTTCACTTCCTGCTTCTGCAGTTTATCCAACTGAAACTAAAACGATTCAGTTTAAATAGCAGCAGCAATGAGCCGTTAGCATCAGCCGTTAGCATCAGCCGTTAGCATCAGCTGTTAGCAGGAGAGGGAAGTCAGATGGACCTCAGTTTGTAATTCAGAAATTCTCCTTATTCTTCAGGATTCTTGCTTCTGTTGAATGTTTATAGCAGTTCATATCTTACCTGCAGTAGATAGATGACATTTTCGTTTAGCATAAATCCAGATTAGTTAGTGCTGGAGGATGTTGCTAGGCTAGCTAGCATGTAGCCCCACAAAGGTTAAAAGCAAAGTGAAGATCTACCACCTTAAAGCAGCACAGTTTATTAAGTTTCATGTTTTTATTTTATTCTGACCAGGAACATCTAAAATGTTCTGTTTTCAGGAAGATTATTGGTGACGCACTGCCTCCACTGTGGGTGTATCCTGTCTGGACCGTCAGCCTGATCTGAAAGAAAGGTTTTACTGCAGGTAAGATATGAACCAACCAAGTCTGAGCTTGTTTTTAGTTCTGCATATTTCAGGTATCAATATTTACCATCTGAAAATGAACAAATGATAACGATGAGGACGGTTGAAAATCCAGCAGGTTGTGTCTGGAAACTGCAGCTAATGTTAGCATAGCATTAGAATAACCTCAAAATCACTATCCAATAACATCTGACGGTTTGACCCTTCTGCATGTTTACATTTTTTAAGTTTAATTATGAAGACTAGATGGAACCGTTGGGACACTTCAGGGCAGGGGGTCCAAAGTGTGGCCAGTGGGCCATTTGTGGCCCTTCAAATGATTTTGTTTGGCCCCTGAACACTAATCATGAATGATAAAAATGTATCAGTTCAAAACCTTTCTTATGTTTTGGATCTTCAATGATATATTGTTAAGAAGGTAAAACTAAAAACAAACATCAAAATAAAATGTTTCTGCATTTCTCCTGTAATGCAGAAATACATAAACTGTCAGTAGTTTGGGTAAAAGGTTTGGACACGTCTTCTGTCCTCCAACCGTCTGAAACTCGGTTTAGACCTCAGCCCCTCTTCATGTCTGAATGTAGCTGCTCTGTTTGCGGCAGCAGCCAATCAGGCGGCAGCTTGTTGGGACGTACCCAGCAGGCCGTGGCAGCGCGGTGAAAGCCCGGCGCTGTTGCCGATGTAGAACCCCAGGTGGTCTCTCTGGTAGGGGCTGGGGTTTTTGTACCGGTGCAGCAGGATGACGAAGCTGATGTTTCCTCCCACTGTCACCGTCACATTGGCCCCGCCCACCACGGCGACGGACAGCCGGTCGCTGTCCACAGCCGCGGTGGCGTGGCAGGGCAGGATGATGCGGTCCCGCCCATCCAGGATGACCTTGGTGGGGGTCACTTCGATGTAGGCCCGGTGCGGGCGATCCATCACCACGGCGACGCTGCTGAAGTACGTCCGCTGCTTCTTATGGCTGCCAGGGGGCGCAGGAGCACCGACTAGCCGGCCGTTCACCGTCACACCTGGAAAAGTCAAAGAACCGTCAACTAATCCCAGCTGAGGTTGGGAACGCCTCAGTCATCTCAGGCTGCGGCTTAAAGGGGCGGTGTCATGAAAAATAGATTTATACTTTTTTAGCTTTTCATCATGTAAAACAAGCTTGGAGTTTTGCTCTGATTATTATGTTTGATAAATCATTTAATCCCCATGGCAACCATTCAGCTGCAAGGCCTGGGTGAGCCTAGACGCGCCTTCAAGGCACAGCTCCGCCCCCTCTCAGCTCCTCCACCACTCAGCTCCTTCAGACTAGCCAGAAGCAACTAGCAAACAGCTGCTGAGCTCATTAGGAGCTGCTGCTCAGAGCAACACTGGTAAAAACACTAAAGGTTTAATAGAGGAACCATGTTGGATGACTTCCTGGGGGCGGAGCATCAGAAAGAACAGGAGCTTCTTAAAGAGACAGAGGCCCAGTTTCAAAGCCTTATATTACAAAGTCAAATTTCTTTTAAATCTTATTTGTTATATGTCATTTTATAACAGCTGAAGTGACATAATAACTTTGTGATGCTATAAAATGTCACTGTGTGGCTGGAAGCAGATGCTGCTGGCCCTGTGGGGGCGGAGGTGAAGCCTGGTGGCCCGCCAGGCTGATGATCTGCTGGAGGAAACCTGAGAAAGAGTCAGTGACTGAGATCAGCCCTGAGGCTCACCAGAATACCGGTGGTCAGAAACCAGACGCAGGACGTCTCCAGGCTCTCCGTTGATGTTGAAGCAAACAGTTAGCTTACTGAGAGGGAACTCCACCACGAAGTGAGGGTCGCCGTCCGCTGAGAGAGAGCAGCACAACCAGGAATGAGGGATCACTGAACACATTTACATTCATTTCAGATTTTGTTTTTGGTTAAGACCGTCTGAAAGAAAACTTGTTAGGCTGCAAGTATTTCAGCATTTTCTTTCTAATATTTCAGATGCTGTATGGATGAATCTGTGACCAGGCGAGGGTCCCTGTTGTTTTTAATCTCATTAATTTTCAGTTATTTTACATTAGAAATGTCAGTGTTCATATTGTAGCCTGCTGTTTCTGCTGTCTGGATTGTTTTTGGTTTTTGTCTTTGGGATGTTTTAAAAGTTGCTGCAGCTCTTTGGAAGCAGCTAAATGAGATTACAGAGCGACCCTAATGACAGGGGCATTAGGCCGTATCTGCCCCCGATGCCCCCTCTCTTTACTAAAACACAAACATCCAGGATCGGCTGCTTAAGTACAACCCAGAGCTGCTGCTGGCGCCTCAATTAGAGCTTTTCAGAGGAAAGCAGGCTGATCAAAGCTAACAGGCTGAACGACAGGCCTGGAGGCAGAGACGCTTCAATCTGATGAAATTCACAGTGTGAGAAACGTCACGACTCACCTGAGGTTTTGGAGATGCTGATGGATTTCCTGAGCGGTTCGCTCTCAGCTTTTCCTGCAGAGAAAAATGTATTCAAAAAGTGTCAAATAATTTAAGATATAATGATTTAGAAACAATAATCTAGGATGAAAAAGGACTAATGCAGGATTTTCATCTGTTAAATGGTTTATGTTTGAATTTTTAAAAATGTTTAGTCAAAAATTTAGCAGATAGTAATTCATACATGAACATTAATACTTGATGCTCCATCTGGTTAAAGTTTTACAAATGAAGCAAATGCACAACAGTCTGGTCCAGGTTTAAAACAGATCTAATAATCAAACCTGAATAATTTCTGCTAAATGTATTTAAAAAGAAAATAGCAAAGAGCCAAACATGAAACCCTGAGGAACCCCGCAGGTTAAATAAGCTCCTAGAAAACCTTTGATCTTTAAATCAGAGGAAATCAGTTGTGAGGCATAAACCTGATCTCCAGTAGATTAACAGTTTATCCTGAATAATTTAACATTATTTATTGGTTTGTAGTGAACCAAACTAGAGGAATGGATGGATGCGCCACCAGCTTCCTGCTGGGTGAACCTGGATCTGATGGGAATTGCTCTCCAATGTTTTCCTCAGCAGAATCTCGTCTGATGGGTCTGGTGTGAAGCCTCACCCGTCCGGCTGCTCAGAGAGGAAACCGGGCCGCCCAGGTTCCTGTCTGGTTTCTGTGGCGGCTCGTCGTCTGCAGCTGGCAGCTCATTGGCCGGTGAGGCGGCACCAGGTGTGGGCGGGGCCACGGAGGCCTGGGTCGGGGGGTGGGGCTGGTCCAGCACCATGTGGGTGAGCGGGGTGAGGAAGCGGAAGGTGAGGGACAGGTTGGTGGCCTGCTGGGTTTGCTCCTCCCTCTCCCTGCTGGAGCGGCTGCGTAGCCGCGCCCGCAGCCCCTCCTTCACGCTGAGGAAACCCCAAACACGCTGCACAAAGTCTGCAGCCACTGAACCCAGGGAGCTCCCCCACCCCTGCGTGACCCCTGACCCCACCACCGCAGTGGCTTCCTTCACGTGTTTCTCCGTCTCCGCCTGCAGGTGGCGCAGCGGCACGTCCGTCTCCATGGTGATGAGCCGGTCGTTGTTGCTGGCGGTGACCTGGACGTGGAGCGACTCGGCGCTGCGGTCGGTCAGCTTCCCGGCCACCACGATCTCCGAGCCGTTGAAGAAGTTGGTGAAGAGGCTCTGGGTGACGTAGCCGACCGAGTTCTGGGTGTAGTTGATCCGGATGTCGGACAGAAGCGGCGTTCCGATCTCACTGTAGAACCTGGAGAGGAACAGAGGTGGTGAAGGACCTAAAACCTCCCCAAGTTCACTCTTAGAAGTCACCATAGCAACCAGTAGGGTCTCCACAGCAACCATTAGCTAACTGGACGTTGAGGCGCCATTTGTCCTACCGGCACAAACGTAAAAACGTGAAACTTGCTGAGCTAAAGAAACAAAAATTTAACAAAGATGCGTCAGCAGTTTTCATCCGGGTTCAAACATTCTCAGTCGTTCGGGAGACTAGAAGGACTTTAATGGTTTACTGCTGGAGGTCTAACAAAAACAGATCCCCAGGTCCAGAAGCAGCTCTGATCTGCCAGGTTTCAAATCCAGAAACCAGGACTGGGAAGAGCGCCTCCCTTTGGTCAGATGTGGTAAAATGATGTGACAGAAACATGGAGGGGGTTTAAAAAACCAACAGCAGAAAATCTGGCAAACATTTAATAGTGTAATTTTTTTCTCTGCTAAATAAAGACCACAAACAATCCACGGTGCCTCTACCTCGTCGGCCATGTTTGTTTACTCTGAACTCACGACCAAAGATCTAAAATCCTGAAATCTAAATGTTGGTGAGTGAAATCTGAGTGTTGAGTTCCTCCTGCTGTGTCTCCATGTCACACTGTCTACAGCTGAACCTGTTAGATGTTTGATCATCATGAGGGGAACCCGGCCGGTCTGGGCTGCCACGTTCCAGAGAAGGAGGCATCATGACGAGCTGCTCAGCCAATCAGAATCACTCTAAACATGAACAGCCTGGTTGGGCCTGTTTTCCCATCACTATTCAGACATGCAACCATTGAACATAAACCCTGAAGTCTTTAAAGCCTCATATTAAAGCCTTTATACTCGGCAGCTGATGGTCTCATAAAAGCCTTCATATTTCAGAGGCTGGACGCCTCCAGCCAGGTTTGGTTGGACGTTTTAAAGGACCAGCAGCAAAGCGGTTATTTTAGTCTAGGCTGGATGTTTGTGTGGTTGCAGCTTCCATCATCAGTGGATCATGTCCATCCGGATTGAAACCTGCCGGCTCTTTAAGCCGCTCACAATGAGAGCATGAATGTGAACGTGGAGGAGCGCGTCCTGTCAGCTCAGCAAACCTGCAGCTGTTTGTTCAAGCCGCAGCGGCTCTGTTATCAGCCTATTCGTTAACCCCACACACACACTGAAGACGCAGTCTGCACAACACACACACATTCCTGAGCGACTGAACCAACGCCTGTCTGAGAGCAGGACAGAGAGCAGCTGATCAGAGGACGGCCTGCTGCTGCAGCTGATTACAGGTCTGCTGTCAGCCTGCGCCGGTGAGAGACGGCCGGGCAGCTCGTAAAAACACAGCATGCACAAGGATCACAATGTCTGGAAACTACATCAATTTAATGTCCCTGCATGCGAGAAAAGACTTTAATTCTGATATTTGAGAAAAACTGACTAAATTCACATATTTGCTGATTCACATCCCAACCTTTCAGCTTCCTGTCCATTTATCTAACCAGTTAGTTTCTCTTCAGAGATCAACATGATGACCAACTAAAGAGAAAGATGACAATGAGAGCCAGATTCTGTATACTCCTTCCACTAAACTTTCCATTCCCATGCTTGGAAGCAACAACCAGCTTCTATAGCAGTAACTTCTGCAGCTTTATTAAAATCATTCTGGGTCAAAGCCTGACTTTACAGAGTTTTTCCTGTTGCCATGACAACCCATCATGACCGAATCTGACCAGTGAAGCGTCCAAACTGACCCGACGCTGAATGGCTCCACTATTGTTGACCCCGTCACACTAACCCAGAGTCGTTCTGCTCCCAGTTCAGACCAGATACTGGACCAGTTCAGAACCAGCATCAGACTGCTGCAGACCAGTTCTACACTCACCCTGTTCTCTAAACAGTAGCCAGTTGCCACTATTTCAGTTACTTCAAAACACAGAGTGGAAACAGAAGTAATGAAGTTCATCAGGACAGAATCTTACAGGAAGCAGGAAGGAGTTACTGATGGGTAAGGAAAAACTCCCAGGTTTGGAAAGGGAACATTTTGTTGAGAAGGTTTTGGAAACGAGTAGGAAGGTAAAGCTGGGTGTCATCTGCATAGCAGTGGGTTTGGATCCATTCAGGCTGGAACCTCCGTCTGAAACAGCAGCTGAAACTTTCTGTTCGGAGGAAAGCCGTAAAGCGTTACCCTTTGAGCATAGCGCTAGCGTCGGCTTCCTCGCTGATGCGTCTCGTCATCCCGCAGTTCTCCAGAGCCATGAGCTCCAGCAGCCGGTAGTCCACATCGTTCCCAATCCCGATGGTGAAGATGCAGAACTTTTCCTGCACGGCAGAGCGAGTGTTTCCCAAGATGGAGGCGGACTGAGTCTCTCCGATCGTAGGCCGGCCGTCCGTCAGAAAGATGATGAGGGAGACGCTGTTGGGTCCGGTGTCGGGGTCCGACAGGTAATCCCGAAGCAGAGCAGATCCGGTCTGGATGGCTCCGTCAATGTTTGTGCCTGAAGAGAACAAACTAAAGTCAAGGCTTGATGGAAAAACCTTTAATTAGTGGCTGCTGCTGGATTTAACAAACATTAAGACATGAGATGCACTCAGCCTCCAAACAGCTGAGCTCGGCGCTGAGGGTCAGGGAAGAGGCCGCTGTGTCTCACCGCCGTTGGGAATCAGCGTGTAGATGAACTTCTTGGCGTCTCGGATGTTCAGCGGCGTCGCCAGCACCAAACCGTCCGGCTGCCAAACCTTGACCCTGTTGGAGAAGCTGATGAAGTTGAAGTGGTCAGCAGGTCTCAGGTCCCTCAGGATGGTGAACAGAGCATCTTTGGTCTGTAAAAATCACAGGAAACTACAGGTTAGTCTGTGCAGAAGTTTTAAACCATCCCTCATCGTCTAAGACCTCTTCGATGTCTCTGTTTGTCGTTCTGATTTCCAGAGCAGACAGAATCAAATCATGAGACGGTAAAATATTCCCACCAGTGTTTACAGGCTTTATGGCCCTTCCTTTGACTAGGACATCTCATTGAGCATGTGAGAGAGCAGCTGCAGTCATAAACATGGCCGTCTGGTTAAAAAGCTTTCAGGAAGTCCATTAAAACCTCGGCAGTCCTCTCTCTCCTCTGTGGGCGGGCGATTTAATTTGGGGTTGGGGTCCTAAAATGACAAACTGACCCCAGCTGAAGACGTCCATTGTGAAGCATCAAAACACGCTTGTTCTGATCCGGGCCGGGCTGGGGGCGGATCACGGGGTCAGGGGTCGAGGGGTCGAGGGTGTTGTTGTCCACAAAACTCCGTCGCCACGGAGACGGTGACCTTCTGCTGTACTTTTCCACTTTGCTTGGCTTTAGTCTGTTTCTGTAGTTTGTGAGCCGCTCTGGCCGGAGCCGGAGGGTTACGGCGCTGCGTTCCTCAGATCGATGCTCCAGTCAGGGAGGAGGCGGCGCAGCCTGTCGTCAGAGTTCCTCCGACTCAAATGGAAAAAGCGCTGAGGATGATTTCATATCTGCTGAAATCCCAGTATGAGTGGATTTCCTGAGAGTTTGTGCAGAACTGAAAGCAGGAAGCAGATCTGAATAGTTAGTATGAAACTGGAACTCTACTAAAGTTTGATGCTAAATACTGAATGTTTCTGTCGATGTTCATGTCTTCAACCTTTAATCCAGTTTTCATGTTCTGGGCTTTAAATGTCTGAAAACTTTCTAGAGTTTCTGGAGGAAGCTGTCGGCCTGCGCAGGTCCTGCTGCATCTCCTGAGATCTGCTGCTGGAAATCATTATGGCCGGTTCTACCAGAATATATCAGTAAATCCCATTAACACACTGGTAAAATATCAATAAATAGCTAATTCAGCTTCCTAAAATTAAATAATATCGAACATCTTTTCACACTGATGTTCATAAGTTTATGATTTTTAAACATTTTATTGTTAATCTCGTGGAGCTAATTTAGATATGATGACAAATGTGACATTTTGTTACTTGCCAGATTGGTCAGTGGTAGAAGTGAAAAACACTGCCACCTGCAGGTTGGAGTCAGCATGGCTCAAACCAAACTTTTTTAGTGATTTTAGTGATTTTAGTGATCTGTTGATTTTGTAACAAACTCGAGGGACTGATTGATGTAAATAAGGAGATAAAAACGGCTTTGGCTTGACTGATGATGTTTAAGCTGTTATGTTTGAAGGTGGCTGGATTTGGACCGAAGCTTTCAGTAGTTCAGACCAAACACAGCGGAGGTGTCCAGGTGGACAGCACAAACCGTCATCCAATCAGAGCACTGCTTTACCTGCCTCATCTTCTTCCCCAGCATGGAGGCGCTGCTGTCGATCACAAACACGACGTTCTTGGGAACGACCGGCAGATCTTTGGGAGCAAAGTAGTGGACGAAGTGTCCGTTCAAAACCTGGAATCAGAATAAATCCGAACATTGACATGAAGCACAACGTGAGGCTGGAGGACCGTGAGAGACACGCAGGACGTCTCACCTGGATGTCTCCGATCCCCGTGTCCCGTTGGACGTCGTACCGGATCACGAAGTCTCCCAGGACGCCGCTGGTGGAGATCTTGGCCTGCTGGACGATGTTGGGGCTGAAGGTGACCTTCCAGACGTTGTTTTCATTGGTGACTGCAGTCGTGATGGGAACCTCGGATTTGGCTGGACCACAGAGACAGGAAGTGTGTCATAGATTAACTGGATCAGAACCAGAACCCTGGGATGGTTGGACTGGAGCCAGACTCAGGGTTGTTGACTGAGGGGAATCCGGTTTGCTCTTTGGCGTGAGCTGCACTTTGAGCTTCTGTTCCCATCCCGCCTCCTGATGTGATTTACTGTAGAACTCAAACCTGTGATCTTTTCGCCGCGGAGCGGCAGAACCTCCAGGTCCACGATGGGCGCCTGGTCCACGATGGTGACGTCCAGGCTGAGGCGGCTGACCAGCTGCAGAGGCCGGAGGCTGGTGACCAGCTCGTAGCTTCCCAGCCGCCGCTGCAGAAGCTCCTCGTACATCAGCAGGAAGACGGCCCGGTTCCGGCCCGGTATGCTAACCGTGGTCCGGAACAACTCCACCTCCGGTTCTGAGCTGCACAATGAAAAGTAAAGACGAAATCCTCACAGTCCCTCATTTGGCATAAAGATCAGAACCGAGAACCGGTACCGACGGATACCTGGAGTGTTTTAGTTCTTTACCCAAGATGTTTCAGCAAACATTCAGAATCAGAACTTTACTTCCTAAAAGGTACCAAACATTTCTGGTACCGATGAGAACCAAGATTCATCCGCCGCTTCAAACCAGCAACGAAGCTGAAGGACAGAAGATCGTCTGGAGAAGAATCGATGAAACCCGAGATTCCCAGACCAGAGTCTGCTGCACGTTACTGGTTCTGGTTCTGATGTTACTGGTTCTGGTTTAGATGTTACTGGTTCTGGTTTAGCTGTTACTGGTTCTGGTTTAGATGTTACTGGTTCTGGTTTAGCTGTTACTGGTTCTGGTTTAG